CCGACTAATGTACAGGATAGGATACCTTCACAGAAAACCTCGTCTGAACACGAATTTTGTGGGGACTAATGCATGCTGAAACATATAGGTCTGTCACTACTTTCCGCTCTAATGTTGTGTTTGTACTCAAGCTCGGGTCCAGCTTATCTCTCAATGGAACATTCCTCCCCAACAACACAGCAAAACTGATATATACAATGCTGAAAGTAAATGCGGGAAAATAAAGTACAACACATATATACACACCCAACAAATAAACAACCAAGTGCTAGGATTGACTCACATAGGGGATGGGAGGGTCCCTAGCAGAGTTGCCAGCTGTCGCATCACTGCGAAGAGGGGCCGACAATGATAAAAGAGTCGCCACCATTCGTTATTTATCCCAAAAGAGGGAAAGGAAACGATCTACTAAAACCTAACGAAAACGGGAAAAGACAGGTCATCGCAACCATGTCTCGGGTTCGGGAGTCGGTTACGCAAGGGGAAGGTATTAGCACCCCTCACGTTCGTCGTACTCGACGAGATCCATGCTTTGTTGTCTATCTAAAAGGGTGTTTACTATATAAGCTATGGCTCAGGGACAAAAGAAAAGAAAAGAGACTCGATAGAGCATCGCCGCTCTATGTCTACGTATTCCCTCGTGCAATGGGAAAGTTAGAGTCAACATAGTTCGGCTAACTACGGGTGAAGGTGGGGAATGTTGCTCGCCAAGACATTGCTGTCTTGTGCCTACGTATTCTCATACGGTATGAGAAATCAGAGCAAACGTAGTTCGGGCTAACAAGAACACTGGTTGGTTCAAAATGTTTTAGGCCCGAGTAGGGTTAAAACTTAGTTCTAGCAGTTAGGTGTATGCAGCTCGACCATTGGAGACTTAGGCGTTACCTGTTTGCGGTAGAACCAAGAGTTAACGAAACTCTCCTTATGAAAAAGGTTTTCCAAATTAAGATCCCGAAGGATAAAAAGATTTGATGTTTGTTTTTGTGTTTTTTAGAGAAGAAGTGATTTGATTATTGTTTGAAATTCATGTTGCACTAAAGACAATGACCTAGGAGCGAATTCGTCGCATATCGTCCAAAGGACATACGCTAAACACTCTAAATAATTGAGAGGAGGAGGCCCCCCAATCATCATTTCCCACATACTTAAGGCTTGTAACGTACAACAATCTTTAACCTTTATTAGATGTTTTGAAAGTGTTTGAAGATGAGAAGAGAAAGACACTCTAAAGGGAGAGTAAGACTCAACCTAATATTCTCATACAAAGTGCACCTATGATTGGGATAAAAGGGAGTGCTACCTAATGTTATCATGCATGGTTTCAATCCTAATGTCTATCATAATCTCTCTTGGACAAGAAAAATTAGAGGTCCTAAGGGATCATGGCAAAGAAAGACAAAAGTAGAAGAAAAAGAAAGCATAAGCAAAATGCAAGTATGCAAACATGTAATGCACAATTAGAATGAAAGTGAGGGAGGAACAAAGTGTGGGGTAAACACCACCATAAACACATCTCAACCTCAACCATGCAAATGGAAATGCAAGAACCACAAGAAAATTCACAACAAAAATAAGCTCAAACAAGTTCAAGCCAAAAGTGAGATGCAATGGGAGAAGTCATGACCCCTACAACCATTCAAGCATCAATCACCGAAGAAAAGCGGGAGGAAAAAGTGTGGGATAGCAGCCACCACAAACACGTCTCAACCGAAACATTCTTCGAACTTATGCAAAGACCAAATGATAAACATCACTTTGAACAACATATACGAGAGTATGCATTCAAGTGGAAAACGAACACGCGTGTGTCGGCAAAATCATGATTAAACAATCAAGAACAGCGACATATATCCAAAACAACTCACTCCTAATGCGTCATATTGATCCATGAAGATTCAAAGTGAGTGAGCACCAAAACAAGCAAGAACAACAGCAAAACAAGCCTGCTGGCACAGTGTTAATAGATTAACACCAGGGGTTAATCGATTAACCATTAAAAAATGCTTGAAAATTTGAAAATGTGCAACGGTTAATCGATTAACACTCTGGGTTAATCGGTTAACCCTGTCAGCAGAAAAACAGCAACAGAACAGCAATTTCAGCACATAAGCACTTATCCAATGATCCGGATTATCACATAATCAATTATGCACGAATTTAAACCAGCAAATAGTGATCCAATCAACATGTAAACACATTAAACCATCAAGATCACAAATCATACGAATCAAATTAGGAAAATCAATCGAAAATGAAGATCCACATGAGAATTATGCAAATAAGCTAAATATCAAAATCGGATCAAGAATTTCCAACCTACGAAGCGAAGAATTGCTTCGGTTAGTGTTGATTTACTCCAATTATGCAGATCCAAGCAAGAAACCCGGAGATCCTTCAAGATCCAAGTGTGTTCTTTTTGTAGTAGTGAAGATCCACCACAATTAAGCCAAAATAATCCAAATAAGCTCCTTCCAAGCAACTTCAAAATTCAGATCCAAGCTTGTTCGAAAATTGGATGAAGAAATTGAAATGATGATGATCAAGGATGAAGGTTTAGCTTTTAGAAATCAATGATTCCAATGGAGAATCAAGGATTTCAATGTGAGAAGAGCTTTGGTGAAGGTTTGGGAATGGAGAAATTGAGAGAGAATTGAGAGAGTGAGAATGAATTCTAAAATGAAATGGAAATTATGAGAGTTAGATGTGTCAGGTTTGGAGTAGATCATTTAAATACCCCTTAGGCTTGGATCCAAATGAGGCTTGGAATGTGGTTTGTGAAAATTGCTTTGGAGTGAGGAGTGGAAATTTTGGAGGGAATTTGAAATGATTTGAAAGTTAACCAAAGTTCAAAATGGTTCTAGATCCTTCCCTTGGTGTAAAATCAACTCACAAATTATCAAAATTGGACCCCAAAGTGACTTGCCTTGAAAAATCACGTACAGAGGCAAAATATGCACTGGTTAATCAGTTAACCATATGGTTAATTGATTAACACCCTTGAATATTTGAATTTGACCTGTTTTTGACTTGGTTAATCGGTTAACCAATTGGTTAATCGATTAACACCTTCAAAATTTTGAATTTGGCGCCTTTTGGAGGGAAATCTGCACATTTGCCCGTTTTCAACCGATTTAAGCCCTGTTCAACCTCTGAAACTTGCTCTTGAATACTGTAACTGTGAGAACGCTTGAGATAGCTTGACTGCTCCCTCCTGAGCTGAAATATCCTATAAAACAAAATACAATCGACCGCTCGATTGCTGGGCAAAATAAATGTCGAAGCCTCCGATGCTCGTTGTTCAGTCTTTTGCGCAAAAAGAGCCCTGGGCCACAGGAAAACCTTGATCCCCTGCCTTAAAAACAAATGCTTTGATATGCAAAAAAAAAGAGATGAAACACAAGCCAGGTACGAGAACCGGTTGGTCAAATTTTGGGGTACGACAGTACCCAAAACGGCTTTTCGATGCCAGGGAGCTTTGGGAACATACGAATGGGTTGTGATCTTGTTTGATTTAAAAAATGCTGGGGCAACCTATCAAAGAGTTATGAATGTTATGTTCCATGATTTTATAGAAAAATTTATGCAGGTATAAATTGACGACATTGTGATAAAATCCGCATCTGAAAATGGTCATTTGGACCATCTTCGACGCTCCTTCGAGAGAATGAGAAAATATGGATTAAAAATGAATGCACTAAAATGTGCTTTCTATATACATGCAGAAGACTTCCTAGGTTTCATAGTGCACAAAAAAGGCAACGAGATCAACCAAAACAAAACAAAGGCGATTTTGGATCTCCAGCCTCCTTCGACAAAGAAGCAGCTACAATTTTGTTGGGGAAAATAAATTTCTTGAGAAGATTCATATTGAATCTAATTGGTAGGACAAAGGTTTGCTCGCCATTACTCAAAATAAAGAAAGAAAGTGATTTTCACTGGGGACGAGAGCAATAGGAAGCTTTGGACGCTATCAAAGAATATCTCACAAAGCCTCCCATGTTATTACCCCTAATAGAAATAAAAATATGAAATTATATATCCCTGCGTCTGATTCGACCATAGAAAATATGTTAGCGCAAGAGGATGATAGTAGAGGCGAAAGACCCATTTACTACCTCATTCGAATCTTAATAGATGTTGAAACTAGTTACAATATGATTGAAAAATTAATTGTAGTGAAAATATAGTTGGTATATTGATGATTTTGTGTGATTAATTATTAAGAAGAAAGAAAAGAAAAGACAAGAAGAAGATCATGCTATATAAGGTTATACCAAACACACAATTATTGGTTTCGTGTTGTTTGTACCTTTTGACCTCCAAAGTGAAGGTGATGGATGCAAGAATCAAGGTATGTGTCACATGTGCTTCTGGTTACATTACTTCCTTGCTCATCAACAAGCTCTTAGCTAAAGGCTACACTATCCATGCAACTCTCAGAAACTTAAGTACTTTTATTTTCTTTGCATAAGCTCAGGTGGACTTCTTAAAAAGCTTTCCATAATCTCAACAAAAACTAGTCTTGTTTGAAGCAGATATTTATAACTCAGTTGACTTTGAGCCCGCAATTAAGGGTTGTGAATTTGTCTTTCATACACATCTTTAATACATGAACCTGGATTTCAGGTTACCCTTTTGATTATACCCTTCTATATTATGAGTGTATATATATATGAAGATGAACCTGGTTTCAAAGATGTAATGGATGAAACTTGTTGGACACCTCTTAATGATTCACTGTCATATTTATACCATGATGCTTATGTTATGGTAACTTTTCAAATCTTACTCTTGTATCAGATTTCTGAGACTACAATTTTTTTTTGAAACAACTAGTATTTGATTTTTATTGTAATGGTCTTGTTTTTTGTTTAAGAATTATGTTTATCAAAGACAGTGACAGAGAAATATATCTTTAGTCTCCATCTACAATTTTACTATCTATATATATGCATCTAGTTGTAAAATAACAATATTATCTTAAATACTGAGGTGAAAACTTATTCAGGTGTGTTGAAAGGGAAACCAGTGTCAAAATTCCCTCTATGTAGCAAGATATCCAAATCAAGTATTGTTGAATTGGTATCTGAAGTTGTGGCTGAAACTGTCTCATTTATATCAGATTCTGAAGTTTGTGCATTATACCCAAAATGGTATTCTGACAAACCAAAAAAGTTTGATTCAGAAGTTTCTGGTGATATGAATGCATCAGAAAAACTTTCCATCATTAGCTCATTTTCTGATCCAATTGATAGAGAAGGAAAAGAAAACCAATGGAAAATATCTTGTTTGGTTTCATCTATGTCCTTTCTTTTCATATCAAGTTCTTCTTTCAAAGAGAAATTAGCTTCTTGAGTTTGTAGTTGATTCTTTTGATCCTTTTTTGAAGGCTTAGGTTGAGAGCATGTGTGTCTTTCTCTGTAAGTAACCTTAATTATTGTTGGATCTTTGTCTGATCTTTGAATTTGCTTTGTTGCTAAACACCCTTGTCCATTTCTATGTGTGCATCTGTAATATCCTCTGCAATCCAAACCGTTACTCGCTTTTAGATTTTTTTCCTAATATTTTTTTACAAAATTTTTTAATTTGTAAACAGGAAGTTAAATGAAATGAGTAACTCAAATATAGCATTTGGATGAGATGATAATTGATCTCTTTCATTTTAGCCAAAGTTTCTGGGTTCAAACTTAGCTCTGAGCATGCAGAAGTGTTAAATTTTCTTGAGGGAGAGCAACTCATTGTGGTCCTCTCCAGCTCGAGAGATTAGTCTTTGAATTTGCGCGACAATATATGAAATTGAGAAATTGAAAGGTTCTAACCTAGGAAACTTAGTTCCAAGAATATTTTTTCACCATATTTTCTCCAGCTATATTCATCATCTAAAGACCCTTTAAATAATCCTGTGCTTGTGCAAATCTTCACTTGCTCTTTCCACCTTGGCATACTCTTTCTGCACCCCCACAAATTCAAATTATTATGAATTGCTCACATTCTAACCATCCAACTATTATAACTGTCAATTAAGGTAATGTGTATTTACTAAAAATTGTGTACATTGATTTCTATGATAAGATAAATAATTAGACAATAATTACCTTTTCTTGATTAGAGCTTTGTGCTTAAACTCGTGTTCATTATTGATGGGTTTAATTTCTACTCCCACATTCAACATAGCAAGTGCTTTCTGATAGGTCGAAATTATTTTGTCAATCAAGAATTTATTGGTTTCATGCGATGATAAAACCATATGATTACTGAGTTGTTTTGCTAGCTCTTTTCATTGGATTAAATTATTGATGAGATGACCATGTTTCCTCTTAGTGGTGCTTTGCATATTAGTGAATAGTGAGTGGAGTGATGAAAGTGAGTGAGAAATAATAATAGACCGAGGAGGTTGGTTGGAGAAGATGAGATTAAGGGGATGATATGTGATATATATATATATATATATTTCTATAAATATAACTAAGTTGAGTGGAAATGAGATAAAATTTGACTTGGCAAACATAAAGAGTTTTCTACAATGTGGGTCATCATTGTATTGTGACTTTTGAACCAATGTTTTATTATAGACAATGAAATCAAATAATATTCATTTCGAATATATATATATATATATATATATATATATATATATATATATATATATATATATATATATATATATATATATATATATATATATATATATATATATATATATATATATATATATATATATATATATATATATATATATATATATATATATATATATATATATATATATATCATTTACCCGAAAATAAAAGGTAAGCCAGCAATAAATTGTACGGTTACCTTCTTTTGGATTACAAAATTAATCATCTAAAAAGTTATGGTTATTGTTGAAAGAGACAACATTTTTATGCAATAATCTTTAAATTTTTCATAAAAGATTAATTGTATGTGTTGATAGAAAGTCAAAAACGTTAAATACTGTTGGTGCGTAAGATGTAGAAGATGGAGATGGAAGAAGATAGAGAAGAAAAAGAAGATGAAGTGGTCAAACATTTTACAATAGTAGCACTGAACCTTCCTCTTGTCATACTTCTTCTTCCCCTTTTGAGCACTCTTCTGCATTTCAGAATTTGAGGCTTTTGACTTCTGAACATCATCAGATCTCTTCCTGTCTTCTGACTATGACTGCTTCTGATATTTCTTACCAGAAGGTACTTTTAGAGCCTGCTTCTTTACCTCTCTTTCAGAGTTTCTCTTAGTCAGATGCAACTCTTGTGCCTCTTGTAGATCTTCGATTCTCATGGTGCTAAGATCCTTAAAATGTTCAATTGCTACCACGATGTAATCACACTAAGGAGTAAGAGATCTAAGTATCTGCTAGATGATCTTTTCTTTAAAGAGAGTCTCTCCACACAACTTCATCTCATTTGTGATCAGATTCACTCTAGAGATGTAGTCAGATACCTTCTCATTATTCTTCATACTGAGATTCTCATACTGCTTACATAGAGGCTGAAGCTTCACCTTTTTCACTGATGTATCACCATCGTAAAACCGTACCAGTGTGTCCCACGCAGCCTTCACCATCATCGAATCAACGATTTTCTCAAACACGTTTGCATCCATGCACTGATGGATATAGAATAACACCTTATGATCCTTCTTCCTCATATCACATTGAGCATTCATCTGCACATTCGTTGCATTTATCGGAAGTACAACCAGAACATAACCCTTGTTGACGAGATCAAGAACATCTTGAGTGTCAAATAACAAACACATCTAAATCATCCACTGATTCCAGTTCTTGCCATCGAACAGTGAAAGTTTTGTACTCAAAGTACTGTTTTCGTTCATCTTCAACCTTGTGCAATTCACTCAAATTTCACCAAACACTAGTGTTTCTCAATCTCGTAGTATCAAGAAATGTGACTATATTACTTTTCAATCAAAAATTCATCACAAATTCAAAAAACGAAATCAATCACACAACGTCTCACCGTTCACTCGTGTTTCCATGTTAATCTGAATTGAAACTCTATATACAAATTATTGGTGCACAAGATGAAGAAGATAAAGATGGAAGAAGAGAGAGAAGAAAGAGAATAACAAACTTCCACTACTCTTGCAAAACAGTTACAACGAATGGTTACTCCACTACCTCAATTGACAACTACACTTGTTTATATACACAAATAATAATGCCACGTAGGCAACACGCTAACCTACACTGGATAGGTTAAGCTTAACAAAACTAATACTACTACTGAATATGAATTATTTTTAACAATTAAAAATGGTATAATTTGGTGCACCAAGATGAAGAACATGGAGATGAAAGAAGAGAGACAAGAGAGAGAATAACAAACATCCACTACTCTTGCAAAACGGTTACAGCGAATGGTTACTCCATTACCTCTATTGACAGCTAACACTTGTTTATATACACAAATAATAATGTCAAGTAGGTAACATGCTAAGCTACACTAGCTAGGTTAAGCTTAACAAAACTAATACTACTACTAAATATGAATTATTTCTAGCAAATACAAATGGTATAAGAGCGTGCATAATTATCCAAATATGTTTATCATATTTACCATTTTACTTGAGGTAGCTTTAAAGATTGTTTATTCTACGATAAAACATCAAGTCTTCAGTCTCAAAAGTAAAGGACATCAATCAAGTCCACACATATATGCTTATATCCTACCTACTCATACACTAAAATATTAATTGACCTATGTGTAATCTTTTATTTTGTGTTTGGTCAAAAAAATTTCGTGTCTCTTTTATTTTGTATTTGATCCATTAAAGCTCTCTGCTCACCAAGGATATTCAAGTAAGCCTTACAACAACAATAAAAAAAATCATCAATAAAAAATTAAAAAATTAGAAAAATTATTGAAAATAAACATTAGTAGTATAAAAAAAATATTAATTATTAAGAAATGTGTCATTTAATTTTGAAATAGAAAGAGTACTATTTTGACAATAAAATTATAAATTCAGAAAAGATATTTAAACACACAAATTAACACCTACATCCTATTATAAGGTATTTTGATTTTTATGAATATCAATAACTTTATGAATTAAGGTATTTTGATTTTTGTAAATATCAATAATTTTATTTATATAAGTTATTGATATTTATAAATTAATAATTTTATGAAGAAAAAATAGAAAAAGTTATATTAAAAAAATAAACTTTAAGTATTTGAGATAATCAATATACTATTTACAAAATAAAATTTTAGAATCAATTTATTAATTCTAAATGTGTACTCTTAATATATAAAAATAATTGTATGATATATTCTTTTGATTCCTACTTAAAAAAAGTTTTAAATAAATTATTATTATTTATTTTTAATAAAATATCATTTATTTATTGTTAATTGTATTGTTTGATTAATACTACTCGCATTATTTTAAATTTGATTTTTTTTATTGAAATTTAAAATTTAATATTATCACATAGTAAAATCATTTTAATAATAAAAGTATTATTCTCTGTTTTATTCATATGTTTTGAATATTGATGTTTAATTTATGACCTTTTATTTTATTTTTTGACCAATTCAAACGCACAAATACCATGATTTTAAATTTTAAAAAAAAAAATCATTTGACGAATTCAAAAATAATATAACCGAAGGTTCCCATTGAATGGATATGATTTGAGAAACCAAGCGGAAGGATATTTTTGTCTTTTTTTGTTTAGAAAAATCAAATCATAATTCTTTTTATTAAATTTAACATTAATCACCACTTTTATTACTATTAATAATGTGATAAGGTAGATGATTAAATAAAAGTTAGACTTTAAATTTGCAATTAATTTGAGACTATAATATTACTTGTTGAGATATTAAATTAAATGGATTTGATTTGACAATCGGTTAACAGTTTAATCATTAGGTTGTTGCATCTTATCTTTCGTTTGCTTCACAAGAAAATTATTTATGACTAGAAAATATTTCTATAAATAAAAATACTATGGAAAAATAAAGCACTAGTGATGGTCATTGGTAATATAGAGCATTAGTTTTGCTGACTAGTTTTTTTAACTAATTAATTTGGGACAGACTTAATTAATTATATGAATGCTTTTAATATTCAGGTTCGTTTAATATAGTAAAAATAATATGATAAAATATATTTACTTTAAAGATTTTTTTTAAATAACTAGATCCAAAAGACATTTAATTTTGTTGTGGTTAGTTTGTAAATTGAATATTTTTAAATTTCACTTTAGCTATATTTATAAGGGATTCAGATGATGCAAAACGAGATCCATCAAGACGGACAACACACATCATTTAAAGTAGGATGT